AGGAAAGGGCTGCAACATCCTATTCACCGATTTCTTTAAGCTCGGCTGGTGCCGTGTAACATCCAGCAGCCATCCTGAATGTATGCTGAGAAGTCATTGTCCCCTTTCTGTGGAATTTCTGTACCCTCCTTCCAGCGGTCTCCAGTCCTGTGCTCTTGACATGTTCCCCGCTTGCTTCCTTTTGGGAACAGTGACTATATATAGCTTTGGCACACTTTTTATTTTACCCTCAAAAAGTTCTTTTTGCATGGCTGTGCTGTCTTAGAAGATTTTAAAATTGATCTTTGCTGGGATGAAAGGCCAGAAATAATAGGGAGCGCCTAGCCCCCTCCCCTTTGGTTCATTTTAAACCAGACACCAGCACGTGGGGAATCCCTCTAATTGGTGTAGGATTCTCTGTCAGCCAGGTAGATCTCTCTGGAGGGCAGAGCTAGTATCTACCTTTAAAACTTGGTGAGGCTAAAATATCGAGTGAGTTGGAGGCAAAGTCATGTTGCTTCCCTGCTGGTGCTGAGATTTCAGCACTTGTATAAACAGTGAGATCTTGGAAGAGAACCATCATCTGAAAAGACCAAGGTGATGAGTTTAGGTGGATTTCAACAGAAACATTTATTTTTTGTGTAGGAGAAATTGTGTGGGGGTTATCACAGTGCCTCTAAAGCTTGCAGTTATGCTGCAGTAGCTGTGCACATGGCCCAGTGATCTCTTGGATGCTTGAATCTAGAACCAAACCGTCGCTTTTAAAATGCTCGGAGCTGAAATGCGCCGAAGGCTGTTTGGGTGGCGTGTTCCAGCAGGATGCTTATCAAGTACGTGGTGTGAACCTTCCTGGAGTCAAACCAGTCTCTCCAAACAGTGATCTGAAATGGCAGCTGACCCTTACATACGTCTCTGACTTGGTCCAGGCTGTGACCTAATGCTGTAGGATCAGGGGCTTATCAAGGGACAAAGTGTCCATCCCGAATGTTCAGCAGAAGGTCCCTTCGACACTGGATTGCGACTGTAGGCTAGTGGCCTTTAATAGGTCTGCTGTAATTGCAGAAGAGACCCTTTTTTATTATTATTTTGTTTTTCATGGTAACCCAAAGAACATCCTTTTTTATTATTATTTTCATGGTAACTCAAGGAACATTTTTGATTGTCTGGGGTTATAATCTAAATCTGCTTTTATATTGATACTACGCTTTCTTCACAATTAGAGCCTCTCTTGTTATCCCTCTTGGCATGCACTGTTTGGACTATTGTAAAGATAAATCCTAACATAGTCATTGCAGTAAACAGAACTAGTTGTTTTTAGAGCAACTGTGTTCTTTTAAGCTTGTAATAAAAAGGATTACTTAGTGAAAATAGGACTGGTGAAGGGTTGTGTGCAAAATACATTCGTGAGCCTGTGGCTTGATGCTGGTATTAACAGATGCTGTGGAGCAGCACAGAAGCCCGCTTTCAGCAGCAAAGAGAGTGCTTCCCTTCCTCTGAATCCCCCTGTTTGTGCTTCCCTGAACGGCGTCCTGGCCGCTTTAGCTAGAGGAGCAGGGGCTGCGCTGCTGCCCCGCAGCACGTCCCTCCAGACGGGGACACTGCCTGGCGTGCCCCTGGCAGAGCCCTGCTGCCGCGTGAAGCCCCCAGGAGCATCGCCCACGCGAGCTGTTGCTGTGCCCCCTTTGGAGAAACGCAGGAGAGGAAGTCGCTGGAGTTTCCAAAAGATCCCGTGGAGTAGGAATGCCAAGCCCAGTTCACGCACTGAATATTGCACCTCTGTGCTTTGTGCCTTTCCGATCCTGATGGGCAAATGCTCCACTGGTTAAAGGAAAAACAGTAAACAAAAACTCTACATGGGATTAGGACTAACATCAAGTGTGTAGCGGGTTTTACTGAACTCAGCCTGTCGGTTCCTGTTGTGTCTGATCAGCATGCTTGGGTATGAGGAGGCTCCGTCAGGCTTCCTCTGAAGACCTTTGTTTTTCCGCGCAGTATGAATGTCCTTCCCTGTTTTGGCCTAACAGTGGAGGCTGATGCTTTGCTAGCGGCGTGGCAGTCCTTGTTTTTCATTGCAATTAA